GCCTTACTAGTAGTTCACCCTTCAAATTTAAATATTTCTTATTTTCCATCATACATGCTCAAAAATTAAAAAATGCTAACAATACTACATTGTTCAATTTTGTTATCAATTATATATGCGTTTTTCTTGAGCATGTAAGATATTCATTGGTATTGATGCTCCTATAGCTGTGTGCAATAAATTTCTTTTGCCTGAATACATGTTAACTTAAATATTTAATTAATTCTTTTCTTCTTTCTTTTCAGCTCCATCGTCTTGTTGACTTTGGCTTTGATTCTGGCTTTCCCGCTCAGCGGCCATCTACAATTAAATCCATTTAACACAATTCCTTAATCTTGATTTCAAATTAACAATTAAAAACCTCACATACCTTCTTATATGCCATCTCAAACAGTTTAAGACTGGCTTGTTGCAATTCATTTGTTTGTCTTTTAATTTCCTCAGGTTCTACCTCATCTTTCTTGGTCAATGTTTCTCGCATTTTATTAACAGATTCTTTCAGTTTGTCACACTGTAAACGTTAAATGAAATTGTAAATATGAGAACTACCGGAAAAGAAAATATATACACTATTTGTCTTACTTCATCTTGTGGTAACTGTGCTTTGAATTCTTCTAACTTAGATTCTGTATCATGAATAATTCCTTCAGCTTGATTCACAGCCTCAACTCTATCTTTCTTAATTTTGTCTTGTTTGGCATATTGTTCAGCATTTTTCACCATGTTTTCAATTTCATCTTTACTGAGACCACCACTCGACTGAATAACAACTGCAAATAAAAAGTTGCTGTATGAACAATATTCAATTATATTGACTAATATTAAAATAATTTCTTTTACTTAGAAATTCACATACTTTGTTGTTCTTTGCCAGTTCCCTTGTCCCTAGCGGACACATGAACAATGCCATTAGCGTCAATATCAAATGTGACTTCTATTTGTGGTACACCTCTTGGCGCGGGTGGAATACCGACAAGAGTAAACTGTCCTAAGAGTTTATTATCGTTAGCCATTTCTCGCTCGCCTTGATGAACTTTAATTTCAACTTGAGTTTGACCATCGGCTGCAGTGGAGAATACTTGACTTTTTTTGGTGGGAATAGTCGTATTTCGAGAAATTAATCTTGTAAATACACCACCCAACGTTTCAATGCCTGTAAAATAAATTAAAAATCAAATTGCAACAATGATCTGTTCATGATTATGAAAGCTAGAATTAAATGCAATAATAATAACTCAGTATAATAGGTCTTCATTTTTATCAGAGAGAAGATTAGTTATAATAGGCATCATTGTCTAGAAGTGTTTCATTTAATTTATGAACAAACGTGTATTTACCAAGTGATAATGGAGTAACGTCCAGTAGAAGGACATCCGTTACATCACCAGCAAGTACACCACCTTGAACTGCTGCGCCAACAGCTACAGCTTCATCAGGATTAACGGCCTTTGATGGTTGTCGACCAAAAATTTCTTGTACCGTCTGTTGAACTTTAGGTACTCTTGTCATGCCACCAACCAACAACACCTCACCAATATCAGACTTCGATACTTCAGCATCAGAAAGTGCTTTCTGACATGGCTGAATAGTACGTTTGATTAAATCACCTACAAGACTTTCAAATTTACTTCTTGAAAGCTTGATGTTTAAATGTTTCGGACCACTAGAGTCCATAGTTAGGTATGGCAAGTTTATATCGGTTTGAAGAGAACTGGATAGTTCAATCTTTGCTTTTTCAGCTGCTTCTTTCAACCGTTGCATAGCCATTGCATCCTTTGCTACATCTAAACCTTGCTGTAAAAGTATTAAAATATTATATACAATTTCTATTATATTACAAATACAAAACATTATTCAATTAAATATACACACATCTTTCTTAAATTCTGCTGCAAGATAATTAACTAAAGTATTATCAAAGTCTTCTCCACCCAAGAAGGTATCTCCATTCGTAGATTTGACTTCAAAGACTCCTTTTTGAATTTCCAAAATTGAAATATCAAAAGTACCACCTCCTAAATCATATACTGCAATGCTAAACAAAAATGTTACATTTATGGAATATACAAATGTTTCATATTTTGAAACAAAAATCAAGTATCAGTAAATTAATCAGTAAATTATTTTCAGCATGTTTAACAAAACAATGCTAAGAGACGAAAAATAACAGCATCATTTTTCATTTTATATTTTGAAAAGTACTTATTATGTCTCTAATATCATTAGACAAATAATGCTACATACATTTTATCTTCTGTTTTGTCCATGCCATATGCAAGAGCAGCAGCTGTTGGTTCATTGATTACTCTGAGTACATTAAGGCCAGCAATCTGACCAGCATCTTTCGTAGCTTGTCTTTGCGAATCATTGAAGTATGCAGGTACAGTGATTACAGCATTTTTTACTGACATACTTAAGTATGCTTCAGCTGTTTCCTTCATTTTCATGAGCACAAATGCACCGATTTGACTAGGGGAATACATTTTACCATCACCTCCTTGTACCCATGCATCTCCATTGGAAGCTCGAACAATTTTATAAGAAACAGTTTTCCTAAAATTATGAATGTGAGTCAATATATGAAAACAAAATATTAACAATAAATTTTATACACGCGATACATACATATCTTTTTTTACTTCAGGATCGTCGAATTTTCGTCCAATTAATCGTTTCGTAGCGTAAAATGTATTTGCTGAATTTGTGACTGCTTGACGCTTGGCTGGCATACCAACTAAACGTTCGCCATCTGAAAATTCATAAATTCTTCATATTACTTCTATTTACATAAAGAGTTTAGAACGATATATTTACAACTTAAATTTTGCAACTATAAATGAAATAATAATCTAACCTTTACTAAATGCCACATAGGATGGAGTCGTGCGTGAACCCTCTGCATTTTCTATCACTTTAGCTTGTTTTCCTTCCATAACAGCTACACACGAGAATGTTGTACCAAGATCGATTCCGATAACTGCACCTTTTACACCCTCTGACCTATATAAATAAATGTTAAGACTCTTGTTACACACTGATAACATAATTAACATTGCTTTGTTAATTGAATTATTATAATGTGCATGTAGTAAAAGGTACATATATAATAAGAAATATAAAATATAATACAAAGTATTTTTCATTTACTTGTATCGATATTGTTGCAGATCTGTAAATCGTTGGGGCACATACATAGGAGCTGCAACCTAAAAAATATTTAATTCTAATTTATAAAGCTATAAGTACTCCTATAAATACTAACATAAATTACAAAACACAATCTATTTAAAAAAACCGTGTAAAAATAAACTTAAGAAACGCAATGTAATTTAATGTGAAAGTACACGAACAAATATCCACAGATAATTGTTGAACTGCATGACAAACGTAAGCGAAACGAACATCTATGTATGTAGCTATATTTTGTCATGAAATGTAGTTTCAAACATGTAAGAAATAATTTAAGAAGATCACGTGCCGGCTATAAGTTCGATGTCTCGCGGCATTTTGAGGAAAAAGTATCCAGTTATGCTAAATATTCACGAAAAATAGATAACCGATACGAAATAACCAATTTAGTATAATGATACATAGAACAATAAATTAGTTTATGTATTGTACGGATTGTATACGACGGAGAAACGTGCGGCGAAAAAAGTTCTTACAACGCATTGTGAATCGCCATCGGAACTTACATTTTTAAGAATTGTGCTGAACTGTTGTCTTCTAGCAATGTCACAGGTGACATTGCTGCAGCTTCGAGTTAACAACTTTGCGGCGGTCAGCATTTTGATTTTTACGCGTTATATCGTTTAATTTTACTAAAAAGTTCAGAAGAGACGCGGATGCTCCAACTTCACGTGTAGTGATGCAACCTTACAGTGCCTTCTAATGCGCACTCCACGCGCGCATTAAGACTATTTCTACTCCGCGTGCCGCATACGTAATCGCGTTCAACCAATGATAAGTCAGCTCTCAGGGAATGAACCAATCGACGCATTGCACGGCCATCCTGTCTCTGGTGACTCGAGAACTATCCCGAATGTTCTTTTATAGAACAAATATATTTCGTAGATCAAACGTAAAAAGTAACAAAATTTATTAAGAAAGTTAATCAGTTTTTCTCATAATAATTTTAGTAGTATATTCATGTAATTTGAAATAATAATTTTTATTGCTATATTCTATAAATTGGAGGAAATAGATTCTCAACGAATAGAGTTGTGTATTTTATTTAAGTATCCGGAGTTCAAAAACTACAATAACCAAAAAACAAGTTAAATAATAATTTAACATTAGTAATGGTTATAAAATTATTTATTCGTTGTATTATGAGAAACATGGCTTAACGTGGAAAGCTTGTTATAGTAAAATAATAATATTTCAATAGAATTTTATTTTTATTATATTTGCCGTAGATGTATTAATGATATTAATCGATGGGTTAAACTTGTTTCCTAACAATTTTATATAATCATTTTCAATTTTTCACGAGTAGATGAGGAAACATAAGCTCAATATAGAAAACCACGTAGAAGTTTTAATTTATTTAAAAATTGTATTCCTGAAAGCGATTAAATCCACATTATTGAAATGTTGAAACCAATAAACATAATAGTGTTATGTATGTTTTTTGCGTTAAGTAGCCAACAAGTATACAAGAATGAACGCACGCCTTACTACTCGCGAGTTCAGGTTCTGTTACTGACTGAGCGTTATCTTTTGTCGAAGAAAACATTAAATCTTGAGAGTTCAAAGGTCATTATAGAATCAACGTGGAACGTATAAAGTAACGGGCTCAGGCTGATTCTGAGAACGAAATACGTGGCTTTTTTTCTACAATTTCGAATAGTTTTTCTTAAGAAATTGATTGTTTTTAGAGAAAGCAAAATCTGAAGTGGTTCATTGCTTTTCAGATAATCAGATAACTTATTAGTCCAGCCATAGATTGGTAGAATGATTTAAAAATGGTCTCCGAAAATTTCTTTATAATTTAAAAAAGTTATTATTACAGGCACTATAAACATACAAAAATGTTACATAGAAGAGTAGATACGAAAACATACATATTGTTTGTGTAGAAGATGTCCAATCAGCACATATAGAACAATGGATTTTTGAGAAGCAAATATGAATTCTAACATTTTTTTATCAGGATAATCGATCTTATATATAACTTCTGTAAAAAATATTATACGGTTCTACATAATTTAATATTAAATTAACAATCCGTAAATTGCATTTAATACTACGCACTGGTAATTTACCACTTAATGTAACTAACTTATTCATTAATAAATAAGCATTGTAATTTAACATTTATACAGACCGATGCAAATATATATAAAAAAAATGTATTACGTTTTATGAAGAAGACAAGCACACACATTTTACATTGTTGTATACATATTACAAATAGTGCAGTGGTTATTGTAATTTCTCTACTGGTAATTTCTCTACTGTAAGGAACAATATCTTTTAACATAAACTCTTATGTCTTCAATTGATAACAGTAAAAAATAACATTTGTTATGTACAGTTAAGTATACATTGTTATGCAGTTAAGTGTATATCCTGCATAAAACATATATCAGTTACGAAACATTCTTATCCTTCCAAGATGAAAAATTAGGCGACCCAATCATGTGTATGGAGCAATTTGTTACATCATTCCTGAAAATTCAAACATATGTTTATTTCTCCCAGCTGTCAAGCAGTAAGAAAATTATTATTTTATTTGATTTAATTGATTTAAATGACGAACTTACAAGAATCGATCTTTCAGAAGAAACGCTCTAGGTTGCATCAAGTTCAGTCTGTCACCATTGTAACACAAGATTTGCGCCATCGTAACTTTTCTTATTTCTTCTAATTGACTCAAGGGAAATGAACCTGGACTATTTGCATTTTCGTACCAATATCTGTCCCCTGTGTAATATATTTATTATCGTATCACCGAATGCGATTGAATTGTCAGTAACTAATCTTCGACAATTTTGAAATTTTCTTAATATAATTTTATATTTTAATTACTACAAACATAGTGGAAGTGGGAGTTTATCTGAGACGCAACGAAAAAGTATTCCCTCGGACGTTAAACTGCATGTTTACATGTTCTCCTATTCTTATTAGCGTGCGATCAATATGGTCAGTAATGTTTTATTTAGCTTTCTATCTTCTGGTAATGTTATTTAAACGTCAACTAGGTTCTTATAATAGTAATTCTTATAATTATATTTGCTTACCCAAACGAAGATTTCGAAAAGTACGTCCTAATAAACAAAGAAATGTTGGTCCAAGAACAGAATCCGACACAGGTGCTTCTGAAAGTGCTCCTGTTACTAGATCTATGTCTTCCACATTCCTGAAGATGATAATTTCAAGTATAAATTGTCGACCCGTATCCATTTCGCGTTAATTTTTTCCTGAAGTACAAATAATTACCCAAAAAATAAAAAAAAAGTGTTCCGATACAATAAAAATTGACGGAATTATGAGTATTTGAAAAATGGAATCATTTTTATGAATAATTTTGTTGCGTAGTGTTTATTGCCTAAAGCATTGCTATTGTCAATTTACTCTAAGTACGTTTTCCGGCTCGTACGATGATCCATGATTACATACTACGTATTTTCATAAATTTTCCCTTACTTATAAACTGCTCGAAGTCTTTCTATGGTATCTTTGGCCATGGATCCTCTAAGATCATCGAAACTACTAATGTCTGGCAAATCGCAGAATGTTCGCCATCTGATGTATGGGGACAAACCGTGATCCCTTCCTTGTTGTATGACTTGTGCGGCATAATCCACAGCAATGTCGTTGCTTTTTCCATCGTGGAAGTATCGTTCCAAAAGGATTTCATTCAATCCTGGCGGTAAAGGCTTCCTAGAATGTCCCGCTGTCACGGAAATTAAATCTTGCATCCTAGATCGTCATTAAAACCAAGTTCTCATGGGACAACGTATCCAGTGGATCGTAATAATATTCGACAAAAATTTAATCCCAATTCTGTTTGTGCTTTTGTTAAGCTACACTTCGTTCAACTTATGTTATTTATTCAAACATTATAACGGTTAGCTGACGGGCAAAAATGATCAGTTTCTAGTTACAATCTTTAATTTTTCAAACTTGTTCTAAATGACGAGGTAATGATTTTATTTGATATAAGACTATTCACACTTAAAATATAGATGGAGTTTTAATATCAGCTAAAAAGACACTTAGGTTCTTTTGTGAATCCTAATAGCGTGTTAGCATAAAATCTCCGGGAATTTGTAATCTGTAATTTATATTCAATGAAATTGTAATTAATCTTATGAAACGAACGCCTACGGAATTAATCGTGTCTGGTATGGCAGCATGGTAATTGTCGGCCATCGCGTGCCTCGCAATCCATTAGATCTTACGAAACGCATTCGCATCTGAGGATGTGTTTCGTCGAAAATGTATTTACGAGTAATTTCAACTGACCTGTAGCACCTGAGATCAGACGATCAATAGCACCAGCTTCGTAAAACTCCTGTGGAGCGTAGAACGCCGATAGTAAGGACCTTTCTCCAGACTTTAACGCCGATCGTGAGTCAACTAGGTCGAGGGTTTTTGGGGTCAACGCGGCAATGAAGAAGAGCCCAGCGGATGCAACAGCGTTTGAAAGTGTCGCATCTGTTCTGGTGTCGTAGCCTCGGAAGTAACCTCGGTGCGCTAAGCGTAACTGATACCTTTAAATACACCATTGGGTCGAATAATTACAATACGTAAACAGAGAGCACCACTTATTGTTTCTCAACATCGTTTCTCAACGTGACCAATTAATTATGGCGTTCTCAACATTATATTTAAAGAAAGGAGTTTCAGTACTGTCATCCAAATACTAACTAAGCAAAGAAATATTCTTACAAATTTGTGAACAAGATGATTTAAAAAAATACATTTCTTTTCTTATTGACAGAATCTTATAGTGCACGCCTTAAGGGGCTATCCCGAATTCGGAGGTCTAAAAAAAGCGGTTTCTCGTGAATTTTTTTAGGATGGAAAAGAATAATTGATTCTATCGAACTTTTTATCGTATTTTCATACATATTTGAGTAGTCTGTACAAATTTTTTCAACAAGAAATATTCAAATTGAGTCGATTGTGATGCACATTTGTAGAGCACTTCACAATTAAAACCTCCTATCGGCGGGAAAGATGCAGGTCGTAATTTTGGTTTGACACAAAAATAACCAAAAGAAATTTTCATTTTCATACATTTTTCTTCTATGTGAACTAAGAAAAACTCGCAAAAATGGTGAAATGTGAAATTATTGCAAGTTTGAAAAAAAGACCGAGCTCTTTGGGTGAAAAAAATCACTTTAACTTGATAAAAAAGTTGTGTAACATTTTTTTTGTATGAATTTTTTTAGTCCGCATAGAAGAAAAATGTATGAAAATGAGAATTTCTTTTGGTCTTTTTGTGTCAAACCAAAATTACGACCTGCATCTTTCCCGTCGATAGGAGGTTTTAATTGTGAAGTACTCTACAAATGTGCATCACAATCTACTGACTACTCAAATATGTATGAAAATAGGATAAAAAGTTGGATAGAATTAATTATTTTCTGCCATCCTAAAAAAATTCACGAGAAACCGCTTTTCTTAGACCTCTTAATTCAGGATACCCTCTTAAAGAACGATTGTACAAAACTTCAAGTGAAAATTCGTGAAATTGGCGAAGTCGTAGAACTCGGAGTATTCCTAGATCTGTTTCCGAGTGGTACAGCGGTTCCTTCCTTCTAGAAAACTACTAGAAACTTTAAACGCGTTTCTCTCAAAACCGTGTTTTCAAAGCTGGCTGACACGATTTCAGAAAAACTACTGGATCGATCGACTTGAAGTTTCCGCCTCCGAGTGTTTTCGAATCACCCTGTAGATGTTCGGAGGGTCATTAATTTCCCTCATAAGAAGAAAAGGAGTGGGTAATATTATGTATGTGGGAAAGTTCTATAGCGTTTCTTTGCGTAATGTTTGTTTTAGTCGCAATGCACGGAAGACTTCTAAGTGATGTACTGATTTGTCTGACTTCATCACAGAATTTCGTGTCCTGGAAATGTTTACTAACAACACTTTTTGCTTACGCCAGCCTGACAATTTTAGTGTTACTGTTATCGGTTTCTTCGAAATTGGACTAAGGAGAAACAGTATTCGCAATCAAATACTTGGCTTGGTATTGAAATCACTGTATACAGGATGTTTCACAAAACGTGGGACGCATTTTAGCGACGTACCGTACACACAAAAGAATGGAAAAAAAGGTTCATAGAGACAAGTGTCCTATTCGTCCATGTTCCCAAGTTATTACCATTTTTGTACCGCAGTAACACGTGCCTGCTCACCTTTATAGGAAATGCTCGTAATGGCCACATTTGACCTAAATGGGAGCCTGTGGCCGTTAAGTCACAGTTTATTCGTCATCTATTACTCGAATATGAGTTTGCCCATCTTTGATGTTAAGGCATGAGTCATTCGCAAGTGAAAATACAAATTTTAACATGCTTCACTATTCTGCATTAAAATGAAATCATTTCTAGCAATTCTTTTAATAAAGTATTCTTCGAAACTCTGTCGTAAACAAGTAGTTACAACCCAGAAAGGAAACGTTTCCGGACGCATGTTCACATGACACTCGCCTTTTCCTGACGAATAGAATATGCTTGTAAAGTTTAGATACAGTGAGTGTAGAAAGCATTCGTACACCGATCAATTTCTAAAAAAACTATGTACAATTGTAATTTATTAACTTATTTTTTATAAACAATGACATTCTACATAATCTCGGAAATCTCTAGAATAGATAGATTACAAAAAGAAATAGCTATTTATGTAAGTTGCGAAATTAACAAGAAAAAAACAATTAATCGATAGAAATATTGAAGCAACAAGTATTCGAACAACTGTTTAATTTTGAAAATTTCATTAAAAAAAAAAAAATTTACATTAATTTATAAGCATATAATACTTCCTTCGTAGGCTTTCCTTTTGATTTTATAATTATTGTAACTCTTCTAAGCATTAAATTAACTAAATTATTAGTTATTCGAAATGGGATCTTTTTTCATTCCTCTATTAGAGCCATTTTTAAAAGTACTTTACTGGAAATTTGATGTTTTCTAATTCGTACGGAGCAATAAACTAATGTGTTTACGTTATAAACTCTACTGTAAATGGTTCGTCATAAGAATCGTACAAATACTTATTGCTTTTATACTTTTACTCACTTTTCACATTTTTTTGTTTATTTCGCAAATTATATTGACTAGTAAATGTTGTTTGGACTATATCTATCGTAGAGACTTCCAAGAATATATAAAATATCATTGATTATAAAAAAAAAGTTAAGAAACTACAATTTCACACAAAAGTTTTTTGAGAAATTGATCGGTGTACGAATAATTTCTACATCCACTGTATCTATTTTAGAAACATCTTGCGTACGTGTATTTCACGTGCATGTTTATTTTGTTATATATTTGAAATCATAAAAGCTTCATATTTTCTACAAAAGAACATCTGTTCGAATTCGAGACTGTAGAGATGGTTGAGAAGAAATATAAACAATTTCTGGAAAATCTCGTGAAATTTGAATTGGATCAAAATGACCATGCTCCTTAAACCTAGTGTCAATTATCGGGAAGAATAAGTTGAATCAAAATTACAGGGTGTTTCTCGAATGAAATACAACTTGCTAATCCGTTAAATTAATTATGACATGAAAGAGAGTACACGTACTTGTCGAGACTTGTTTCGCCGAGAACAACGGGCAGAAACTCGTTATAAGTTATATGCTCCATTTCCGCGATAACGATTCTTCTTGCTTCCTGGTAGAGTCTCTCGTCGTCCCAGTGAGGATTCAGTTGTCCCAGCTCGGCAGCGACTCGGTTATGCTCCCGTAGAAAAAGTACGTGCATTAGAGTGAGACCGGGGTTCTCGTTTACTCGCGAGTCCCCGCTAAGAAAACACGGGAAAGCTTTGTTCGCGCTTCTGCAACTTTCGTACTTCGGCGAAGGCATGGGCAAGTTCTTCCTCTGCGTATTAAGCAAACCGCCCTTGCCGGATCGCAGAGCTTTCGCTATGTCTTCGGAACTCCCATAAACCGGGGAAAGGTCTAAGTACGACGATGCCTGGTTGATCTGCTGCCGAGGACCCAATTTGCATCCCTAAGTCAGAACACTACATTACATACTGTTGATTGAATACCGTCGTAAATATTCTGCGTTGGAAAAATGGAAAAGCTAATGCAAAAGCTTCCCAAGTGCTAAAAAAATGCGTTAAGCGTTGACTGCCGTAGCCAGAGAGTGTGTGAACAATTGGTACGAGATTTATAGTACACCGAGAATTCTTTGACGATGATCCATTCCCAGATCGACCTTTAATAGCCCGTAATAGAGAGACGCATGATCAAGTTCGTGAAAAAATCCTTGCTGATTGCCATTTAATCATGTGAGAGATTGCCGACGAAGTTAACCCTTCTCTGGATTTGTGCTAAGCAATTGTGACTGACGATCTTGGCTTCGCGCTTTTTATCCATTTTTCTCAATTGGACACGTTACCACATAATTTTAGCAACGTGTCTTTAGCCAAAGTCATCATATGTTACTGGAAATGCCTCAGTCCCTGCACGGTACACCTTATCGAGTATCTCCTCGATTGTGGCGCATATCGTTTACCGTGGGAACGAGGTGTCTGATCCTTGTACATGATTTACAACGGTATGAATGAAGTGTCTCTACGCACTTAACTTATTTTCATCAAAAAATGGAGATACCTGGTTATTTCACTGGACCTTCCATTGAGGAGTTTCTTTCTGAGAAAAAGATTCCTATAGTACTCTGGCATACGTATTACACCGACCTTACATCCTGTGGATGGTTTCCTATACCTCAGAACTTAAATCAAGCTAAGAGAGTGAATATACGATGATGTCGACACAATTAAAAACTAACCTGATAGCCAAGTTCGACAGTCTTTCACTGAAAGAAATCTAAAGACATCGTCAGAAGTGATGGAATATAATATCAGCAGGAAACTACTCTAAATTTATCAGTGTACAGTTCATGTGTATGAAAGGATTAATTTGAAATAAAAATTTGTAATAGTTTCGATCACCCCTTGTATAAGATCTAAAGAAAGCTGGAAAAACGTTACGTTTTTAGATCAGAAGAGATTCGATTGGTTTGCGAGTCTTGGTCTCTCTTTTATGAATATTATTTTGTATCTAAAAGTACGAAACTACCGTAATGCATACAATATTTGTACTTGCAAGTCGTTCCCCAATCGTTTCCCAAAAATAATTATGATGAATGTGAGGTGACTCGAGGAACTCAGTCAGGACATTTATAAAATAAAAATCTTGCAACGATTAACTTGTTCTCGCTACAATTCCATTCTTACGAATAATCTAGATAACACGTGCAGTTCCGTTACCTGTAGTGAGTTTCCTGGGTGGGGCGCTGATCTTGAATATTCCATGCAGCCTATAGTGTTATCGGCACGGATCGGAAAGCATTCTGGATGGAAGTGTTCATAATCCACGTCGCAACATTTCAATTTCGCTCCGTCAGGTAGTTCCATCTTAGGTGTATGCGCGAGATCATGAATCAGAAATTGGCCAAACAGCGCGGTGAGTGCCATCAAATACGGATGTTTAAGATCCAATCCACCGGAATGCACTTTCGAAGAGACTTCTCTGGCGCTAGGTAAATCCGTGCGTGGCATAGAGACCCCGTCTACGTATTCAGGTGGCAGGAATCTCACGTAAGCCTCCAAAGCTGCGCCCCAAGTCGGATGCAAACCGTTATTGCACTTCCCCGTGTGAGTTCTGTAGCGGGAATCGAGCCCTCTGCAGCTGGCCATTACTTGCAAAAAGCTGGACGACTCGGGACAGTTAATGGCAGCCACAGATGGCAATACGGAAGACGCCTCTTTCGACGACATGTTCAACGCTTCCACCAACATCACAGCCATTGTTTCCATTCGCAAGGCTTTCCTCGTAAGATTTTGCGCGTCCTCGGTCATCGCGTGGGATGCACTGAGGAACCACGACGGGGAACCACGGGTTAAATGTGTATGCGAGTTCAGGATTGCTTGTTCGGCTTGATGGTACTTCTCCATCGAAACATTTGTACGCCTATTCAGATCCAGTAACATGTTCGACGGCAATGTTGTACTCTCAACGAGCACGAACAAGACGAGGAATCTGCGAATCGGAATCTAAGGCTAGGAATTATAAACTTGTTCGTACAGGGTGTAAAGAGAACATTCGTCGCGGCTCTATAGGATAAATTTACACATCTGGACTGAAAGATACTGCACTTAAAACGCATTTATCAACTTGTTTGACAACTCTCTGAGAAAACTGTGCGCCCCATCGATATGACCAAAGTCACGTTCTCTTCATGAAACTTCTCTCTATGACATCTCTACGAGAAAAATCTATAAACCTTGCGTCAATGTAAAAACCTTGAGCATTAACAGCGATGCGAATGTACAAAGAGTTGAATTTGCTATGGAGATGTTGCATCTTCTAGCAATGAACTCGTGAGAAATCGTCTGCAATTTCTATCACACAGAGCGGTACACCTTGACGTTACTTAATAATTGTTATGTAAATTCAATGCTTGTCTTATTATTCGACTTGACAATAATGAGATAGGATCAACCATTAAAAAGTACAATCGTGGGGTTGGGCGGACTCGGGTTACGAATTTTCGTTTCTACATCCGCATTGCAAATGAAACTGAGCACACGGAAGAGCTAGTTACCTTTTCGTGCGATAGGACCATGGGTACGAAAAGATTCGCATGATTTCTCTGTAAATTGGCTTTCTCATTAGCACGAAATGGCTTTACCAATGCTGAAGGTATTGCGTGACTTGGTTCAACATCTATCGAGAGAATTGCAAGCTTATCTAGAAGATGACATTTTACCTCGTTTCTGTTAAATCGTTGTTCCTTGATCTCCTGATCCCATTAAATCAGAAATAAACAAAAAGAGCAGGTTATTGTCAAATGGGGTTACTTGCAACACTTTTCCACTTCTATACTGTATGAAATATAAGGTATTTAACAATCAACAAAAATGCTTACATAATGAAGAATTCTCGTTTGCTATGCAATGCTGTTAAGTTCAAGGTAAGAATGTAATCATAATAATTTTGAAGGTAGCCAAAACCGGTACGTGTTCCTGCCAGTGTGGTAGTCTCACGGAACAAATTCATGCGACCTTACGAGGAGATCGAAGAACTCGCTTGCTTGACATTTAGGATCCTTCCTGGTTCTTTTGTGATTATCTTACGCAATCGTCTCTGCTCCCATGATTAGCGCTTGTGTAAATTGATGGGAACCAGTACGCGAAGACATGATTCCATCTCTCTTCATTAGATCACAAGACTTGAAATACAAATTTTTGTTCGACTCCAATCGTACATTAAAAAAAAAAAAAAAAAAAAAAAAATTATGGAAATATAGTCATTTCGTATACAAATATTTTTAAGTCATGGATTTTATGAACTTGAAGAAAGAAATCAAAAGCTTAAAATAAATAAAATAAAGAAACTAAAAGTTTTGTGAAAAATAAAGTTCTCTCAATGTTTTTCATCTTCTATTCGAATCTAATTACTGTCTTCGATGTGTTGTGTTGAGTCTGATAATTGTTTCATTTGTTTAATAGTATTTGCGAACGATAATATTCACTGATGATGAGAACATGATATTTGCAAATCATTTGTCAGAGTAGTAGAAACGGGGATGTGAATTTATTAAAAAAAAATCTCGAAAATTCTCGTGCACAATCACTACAAGAATCGTAAGACCTCACACGACTGTACACTGAAAAGGTTGCAGCATCGGTTATCTCGCAGAATGAAAGCGGAAACACTCACCGCGACAGGAAAGCGAATAAATCATTGATCGGTCTTCGTTCCGCGCACATCGACATTTCTCCAAAACCTCTAACCGTGTCTTTCTGTACGATAATGACCACACCTACGTTAATGATCGTTAGAATTCATTTGCCTCGTCGGGTGATCGCAGTGGTCGGACAGTGCATGTGCGTGAACATGAAGCGGCAAACGTGAACTGAGACTGATTCTCGAACGAAAGTAAATCCTGAGCCCGTCCGGTTGGTTCAAAGAGTGGGGCCCCCTAAGGATCACTGTAATATAGGGTGTCAACAACACACGGTGCATCGACTGGGTAACATTGTTAGTTAAAGACACGGTAAAAGTGCATGGTTGCCGTAGTCGGATTGGTATTACGAACGAGACCAAGGTTCACCTTTCATAGACTCTGTGTTACAGTCGCGGTTGGACGTGCAGTTTCAAGGCTCCAAAGTCTATTCGCACTTTCGTATGTACAGGGTGTAAATAAAACGAATGGTTATCAATTTGAGGGATGAACCTACGTATCTGGATCGGTGGACATTTGTTTAAAAAAAAAAAACCCGTCCGCGAAGTTCGTTTGTGAAGGATTGTAACGAAATCCTTAACACGCTGGGTTTACGATGTGGGGAGAGGAGTTGAAAGGAGGGTAAGGGGTTAAAAAAGGAGACGAAAATCAGGAACCGCCTACAGAATTAGGAATAGCCCGATGGACACTCAGAAGTTTCTCACATTGGAGTGGATACTTCTTCAAGCTCTCTTGGAGGGAGTATCCAAGGTGACCCTAGGAATGCTAATGGGATTAGGATTAAGAATACTGGTACACCTCATAGAATACTGTCACCTCTTAGATACAACGCATCGAGAATCGGGATATAGGAAGAATATCACGGGTCTCAAATAGTTATTCACTTGCCTATCAACTGACTGATCATAGTCAGTCATTCCCGTAAGAGATTGGGTGATCCTTCGAAAAGGTTTTCGGTGCACAGCATCACGCTGCATTATAAGCGCGACGTGTTACTATTGGGATCGCGTCGCGGTGAAACACCGTTATAACCTTGAAATACAAGGTCAAAGTTTTCTTCCAATTTCTAAATATTCTATTCAAACAGAATAGAATTCTAAGCTTCAAGAAAGTTACATACCACAAGCACGGGCTTCTTGACCGCGCGTGGCAGCTCCGCGAGGCGCCGGGGTTTCCCCGTCCTGTCTCCTATTCGTTTACACATAAGCGATCCTTAGATGTAATCACGGCTACGCGGCTGACACAATTTTTGTATTTAAGAATATTCTACATTCACAAACTTGTGCGCGTGGTCACGCGCACTTTTACACCTACAATCCTGCAGCAAGGATCCGCTAAAAGGTATTACGTGTCGTATGAGTATTCATGTCGCGCGTGGGGAGACTGGTTAAAAAAACTAGTATAGAACGTGAAATAATTTGACGAAACTCAGTCCGTGCGACAATAATTACACTTACTTTAAAATCTCAACTTCGTGAATTGGGTTAGGGTTTCTATAACTACTTAAAAAAAAAAAACTATGTCATGAGAGGCCTTGAGCACTTTTATTTTCGCTCTACGCGCCATTGTTTACATTTTAGATCTTTCACTGTCCTTTGTTTTCATAATAATTGTTTGAATTGTATTAAAATTATCTATATCCGCGTTCGCATTAGCGCGCATATATATTTATTGCTTAAATTATAGAATCCGGTTCTAGGAGCGAATATCGTCTGTGTTATCAAGAACAGCTCCGCTATAAGCTAAATCCCAGTAATGCTCAACTTGGTGCTTTTTAAAGTGCTCCCGAGCCATTTTTTCGATTGGGCAAACTTTGAATTTGATTTCTCCAAAATGACGTTGTTTACTAGTGCCTTCCCATACAGGAACGCATTTGTTCGGTACATCGTTCCCATCGTTATCTTTTATAATATCTTCCTCCCACTTGATGCGATTCATCATCAATCGTTTATATTTACTTAATTGTTTTGCGCCACCTTCTACTACGACAACGTTGCAGTCTCGGAAGAGCATAACACAGCCTGTAAGGTAAAGCTGTTTCGCATTTGTTTCCACTTTAAACTTCTTTGAAGAATTATTTAGCAGATCGCGTATTCTGCAAAGGAAATATTAATTATTAATACCTTTTTGTATAGGTAACCTAAAATCTCGAATAATAGGAAGTTATCTCTAGTATTTATTTGTTAATATATTATAATTTACCTGTAAACGGATACGTGTACACCGAGTGTAGTATCCTCCTTAAGTTTTCTTGCCTTTTTCTCTCGCCTTTGATCAGCCGTAAGACGTCGAGCCGCATTAGCATCTTCGTGTGCTTTTAATCTTTTAGCCATTTGTTGTCGAACGTGAGCTTCTATTTTCGTAGGATCTTGGACGGCTTCTGTACCTAATACTCGCATGAGATTTGAAATTCTCAATTTCGGTTCCGGCGGCGGTTCGAGGCCTAATCGAATTTTTTCTTGCTCTTCTTTCCATGCTTCTCGCCGGTTTTGTCTTCGTAACTTTTTACGTTCCTTTTTCGTTAAAAATACGGGCATATATATTGGTTTTAATGGATCAGCTGAAATAATAAATAGACTTGATTTGTATTGCTTTCTTATATATGAAAGTATAGCGTATTTAGACTAATTATTAAAGAATACTCACTTGGAGGTCGCATTTGTGTGGGATGTTCTACAAGATTGGTAATAGTGGAGTTTTTAATCATGGTAAGTTCATCTTCGTTCGGATAGCCTCCTGCCAAAATAACCGAGTCCCACCATTCTACATTAGGCACATCTTCGCTGAGAGCTTCAGTTTTTGGTGCTATGAGCGCCAATTTAGTTGCAGAACTTATACCGGTTTTTCTAGCAATTTGACTAATTTCATTCTGCAGTTTTTCTAACTGAGCTTTCATACGAATTCTCTCTGCTAGTTGCTGAAACTTTCCTGGTTCATGGAATTTCAATGTGCGTTTACCACGTATAGCTGGTTTCACACCTATCCTAGTATCAAAAAAGTGTGTGTCTTGAATTTCTTCCGGGCCTTTGGATTCTTGCAACTGCGCTTTGAACTCTTCCCGTTTTTTTGCCCGAATATTGGCTTTCAATGTTGGCACTACTTGAGTAAGTTGTACTTCTTTGCCTGTTATATCTACGGTTCTCCCTGATTCATCCAAAATTAATGGAGTCGGTTTGTCGGGTACACTGACATTACCAAGTAACCCTGAGCTTAGTTTACTTCTGATTTGGGCTTGTAGAGCAGCAATTTTTCGAGCTTTGTCCGAATCTGTTTTACTTAATAAACCTTGATTGTACATACTCCCCACCGTAGGTAATGAATCTTGTGATTTGTGTAATGGCTTTATCGGTGATGATTCATCTTGTTTTATGGCTTTCAGTGCTCTTTTTCTTTCTTCGATTTCTCTTTGGGCATTAGCCATCATTTGTCGTATCTATAAAGAAATAATTAGTATGGAAACTAGCAAAATGATGGTAACATATTATTACAAATTGAATACCTTATCTGCAGATAATTGTGCTTCTGTTGTTTTTTCATTTTTCACTTCATCATCTCTAAATCTCGGTTTCTTCGCATCTTTGTCTTTATCTTTATCTTCCATGTGACTTCGTTTCTTACTTTTCTGTGCTGCTTTAGCATCATCATATATTGCAAATATTTTTTCAGTTAGTTTTGAAGCTTTTTTATCTTCCAATAATGCAGATAATTTATCTATGCAAATGAATATATTAACTATTATTGGGGTATAGATTCTAATGATTTACAATTGATCATATCAAAATATTAGTAGTGTATTTCTCTTGTAAAAAGAAACAGACCAATATAGTTACATGCTATGTCTTTATTATAATATACAAGTACCTTGTACATTATAACACTTTTAGACATCGTTATAAATTATTCTTTACGAAAATCGTAATTAATCAAACAATAATACTGTAAACTATTACTAACCTGCAGTTTTACGTTTATCATAGCCAGAAGTAATACAATTGACAGCCGTGGTAACGATAGCAGGTTCCCCAAAACCGAGAAATTTTTGAACTGCTTTTTCAATTTGTGGTTTCATTTCATCTATTTCTTTTCTCGTTAAATAAGCCATTTTTGAGGGATTTGCTGTATGGAGTAAATTTATTCAAAACACCGTCAACTTAACGAGAAATTGTCTACTTTACAACATAACCTATACAAACTATAAGGTTAAGTTCGCATTTCAATCACACTTCATTTAGGTACGATTGTTTTATATGTCAAAAAATACCGAACGTCTAGGAATTTCAGTAAGGATTGTCATGATATTTCTTTACGGTTCAATGCTTCTTTCTAAATCAAGTATCGGCAAATATATTCCGATACCATCGACATCACATTGCAACACCGTAATTGTTATTTCAATCGTTCCAACTACGTTCAGTAATTCTGTAATTCACTAGATGTTTCGAGACTTCAAACAGTAGTACCAACTTTCTAGTCGGTATGAATTTTACTAGTCCAGTTGCATAAAGCTAGTGGAAATTACCCTTAATTTCGCCAGAGGGTAAACTGGCGCCATCTACAGAGAACAGGTGAATGATTATGCATTTCGTAATCAGGATAACTTATCGCCTAACTAATAATCGTTTTTTTTTT